ACCATGGCTGAGAATGGGAAGTCAGAACGAGGCGAACCGAGAGAAGCGAATCAACATACAGGAGCCAACATTTGGCGTCTGTTCGGGCCGCTGATCGCCAGGAGAAGTGGTTATACAACCTGAGCATAGAAGATGACCGAAGGGAACAAATATCAGCGGGGGGAGCGAACGTACCTCTAGCAGGGGCGTCATTCACTGACTGAACTTGACTTTTGCCAAGAGGGGCTGCTTCGAAATCTGAGGACGATAGGCAAGCCGAGAGAATGTAGTTACTCACTGTCTCGATCAGTCGAGTTGGCAGACCTACCCGTTGATTGGGGTAGAAATACAAAGGTATCATCTTGTGGGGCGACTAGGAAGTCCACCAACAGCTGCCTCTCGTGTCGTTGTAGGGTTCGGGGAGGTGCAAGCGCGATGGGGAGTTTAAATTTTTTCGTGTCGTAGTAGCATTCTGGATGCTTGGCTATATCGTCGTATGGGAGAGACGAACCGAAGCCTACTAAATCTGTACATGCAACCTTAGTGATGGACTGTGTAGTTGAATGTTTGACTTACACCAGAGGCAGTCGAGCAACGATTCCAGCATATCCATGAGATCAGTGAAGGTCGTGTTGTCAACATCCACTCCTTGGAGAGTAGGGATTTTTGACCCCTTGAACGTCTTTAGCCGAGGATCCAACACGGGCTTGGGGCCGCGAGGGTTCACTTTGTGACAATCAGTGACCTGGTACAACTTGGGGGAAAGCGGAGCCTTACACTTTATCACGCGGGCACACCATTGTCCCCATGCAGCTACAACACTGTCTTTCACGCCTCCATCGTTGTCCTTAAAAAATTTTTTGTTTTCTCTCCCAAGGCAGCGACTGGACACCTCATAGCTGCAAGTACGACAAATCAGTGACGAGCGATACGATTGAGATCGAGAGCTCACATGCTGCCCGCCATGGCATTTTCATTGTCTCTAAAACCAGCGTAGACAACTACCTCCATGTTTCCGAGAGCGCCGAACTTGGCGATGTCATACAACAGCGCAAAGATACCTTCGCCGAAGGCCTGCTGGTTACTGCAAGACGAAGGATCATTGGATTGACTGTGTCCGGTTCTATGAGAAGAGAGAACTTACGTTTCTAGGTCGAAGACCTGCTCTTTCTCGGCATAGCTGGCTTTCTCTTCTTCGCTCAATGCCTCCCATAGATTGCTGACCGCGAGTTTGTGCAGACCGCCGTTGTTGCCGTTGGCGAGCTCCGGTTCTTCCTCTCGCAGGCGCTTCGTTTCCTCCCAGATCTTCTCTCCCTGAGCCGCTTTGAATTGTTCCTTTGGCGTTAACGCACGTAGGCCTGCTAATTTCTGGAGAGCCTTCGACAATGGGAGGGCAGGCCGTTCTTCAGCTGGTCCCTCGGCCGATCCCCCGGCTTTCTCCATGTCGCGACGGCCTTGACGATAGTCGGAGCAAACTCGTTCCCTGTGTTTTTTCACCAGAGTCTTGTTGCGTTGGTTTTTGAACCAAGTGGCTATTGCCTGAGAGCCAAGTTGTCAGTAGTAATCTATCTTGAGAAGCGTTCCAACCAACCTCTTTCCATTGATCTCTCGTTTTGTCTTCCAAGGAAAGACTAGCAAACTCGGGGCTATGCATAGCGCGATTCTTGGTGTCATAAAACCAATCCCGAATCTCCTCGGGATCATTCTCGTTGTCATCCTTGCCCATCTCGATGTTGTGCTTGATCAAAAGATCCTCCAGATTGTCCAGCTCCTTCTTAAGCCATTTGGTCTGCTGTTCGCTGAACAGTGTGGTGCCCGAGGGCTTGGTTTTCGGGCCTTTCGGTTTTCGCGAACGCTTGGTATTTGACGCCTCTGGTGGCGGAGAGGATGACATAGCGAGGTTCGTAGTTGAATGGGAGCCGGCGATTCCAGAGGGTGAAGTATGAGAGGTAAATCGTGAGAATCGGCACGTCTTGGAGGTACAGGGATTTTGGATGTGCAAAACCTATATTCATGACTATTGGGCGTGGGGAAAAACAGTATGAGTTCGTAACGATTGGAAACGAGCCAACGAACCGACTCACCACGCCACCGAACTGAACCTCCGAAGAGCCCGATCTTTTTTCTGTCATTTTTCAAAACTTAAGCGACCACAAGTCTTTCGAGGAGATAGAGGGCTGTTATCGGCTATGTGTTGGAAATCTTTCTGTCTCCAGGGCGCTGTGGAGCCCATATGGAGCTCATATCGGAAGAATTTTGAGGACTATAGCGCGATGCTCATCGGGAGTCGCGTTCCTGACGCGGAACTCGTCGGGATACGCGTTTTTGACGGGAAGCCAATCAATATACGCGTTCCTGACGCGTCTTTGGACGCGTTTTTGAGCACTGGCGCGTCACCATGAGTCGATTACATGTGCGGGTTATGAAAAAACTTACTCATTACAGACCCAGATCAGAGCGGGGGAACGTCAGAGCTGGCCACCGCGCATTTGTGGAGCAATTTCCGGAAGACATCGAGGAAGGCATTGCAGGCATTCCATGGACGTGGTACGCGGTCGCATAGGGAATTATAAGATGTGTAACTAGTCTAGAAAAACGCGGCGGGTGTCCGATGAATACAATACGCGGCTGCACAGGGAATGGAAGCCATGTAATTCAGGAGACGATCAAAAAAATATACGAGCGACCTGGTTCATTTCGACGGGTATGCAATGGTAAGAAAAAAAAAATAGAAGTAAAAATAAGGATAAAAACCAAGACAAAGTTACGGTACGTTGGAGTCTTCATAGTACGCGGAACGAATGAAGCAGATGGATTGAATTAGATGATACGCAACGAGACGAACGAACAGCGCGGACTGGCCCCACTCCAAGACAAGGTGTGTAATTTGAAGGATCCCTGAAGATTCCCGTGACGACGACTCGTATGTAGGGGAGAGAAGGGGGGGGGGGGGGGAAGTGGGTTATCGAAAATTGAAAAGAAAAGAAAATTCCCGGATTTAGTGCATCACATATAGGTCACGGCTCGTATAAAGGTCAAGCTCTCTGTCATCTGCCGATTCCTCTTCACTTCCAACCTTTCTCTCGATTTCTCTCGAACAACCCCTTTCCTTGTTCCAAGCCGGCTTCGCCTACGTGTAACCACCCCCTTCCGATGCCTCAAAAGGACTGCGAAAACTTCCGGAAAGACCTCAAAGACCGGCTGAAAGAAGCCATACACGCGGTCGCTGGGAAACCAGACGGACGCGTCAGACGCCACAGTTGCTTGCTCCGCGGAAAAATAAACGAAGGGAAGGGCGCCTCCTTCGATAACGTCGGAAGAAAATATAATGTGGTCAGTCTAGCGAACGCACGATTGAAAAACATTCGCTCACTTCTCTTCCACAAGTGCACCACGGCGAAACATGACCACACCTGGCTCCCGCAGTACACTACGGGACCACTACCGTACAAGATTCTGAAGCGGCTGGAAACGATCAGGGCAGGTCACGACGTCCTCGGGGTGCAATACAACCCTGCCGATCCGGCGACGACAAAAGACATCGAGCCGTTCCTTGACGCGATCCGCACGATCACGGACAAGGCCTTCAACGACTTATATGTTTATGCAGAGACAGGCCATCTTCCGTCGTCGCTCCCATCGACTCCTTCACCCCTCCCCTCTCCTTCCCTCCCTTCCTCTTCCCCCCCGGCTTCGTCCGGATTCTTCCCGTATTCCCCACTTCCACCCTCTTCCCCGCCCACACCACCCTCCTCCTCCCAGTGGAAGCTCTCAAAAATCCCGAACATGTGGAACACTCCAAGTCGTTCCCCAGCTTACGCGAAGAAGAAGTATGGCACCGGGCAGCGCCTCCAGGCCAGCCCAACGAAAAGACAGAGTTCTTTTAGCGCGTCGCCATTGGCGACTAGCTCGAAGTCGACCCTCGATTTGCAACGGGGAAAACGCAAGAGGGCGCCTGAGCCAGAAGTACCGAGGAAAAGGGGCAAAGGTCAGTGCTGAAGTCCTCATTTGTGTTATTGATATGACTCACGTGTTGCGTTAAGTTGTTGAAGTGATCGAGATCACTGACAGCGAAGACGACCAGCCCAAAGCGAGTGGCTCTAAGGGAAAAGGAAAAGGCCGAGGTGAGAATTGGTGACATCCTTGAGCAAGCTCAGACACTCACTATCTGAAGGATATAGTTCTCGTGCCGGCGACTGATGAGGACGATGACAGCGAGTCCGACTCCGACTCCGAGGCTCCTCATTCCATGAGCTCGGGGTGGACTGTTCGCTCTGGCGACTCCTACCCCGTCCGTCGCTCGAGAAGCCCCAGCTTCTAAGAACCTCGAACAAGGTATACCCTCTCACTCCTTCCCCATCTTCCCTTCCCGTATCGTGATTGTAGTTTCTCTGGTGATTCCTATTTCTTGACACGCACTTCCGTAGCCATTGTTTCGCTACTGCCGTTGCAGCATCATCGCTTGTAAAATTTGATAGTGAATTGCATCGTTGTGACCAAAGGAAAGGACCTGAAAAATGAGTTAGTATCACGACACGAAATGACCAATGGGAGTTCTTGCTCACCTTTGACGACAGCAGATTGTAAGGGCGTCCGAAGGGACCGCGTTGGTCGTTGGCCTAAAACAGGACGACTGAGCGTCAGCATCGTTGCACGAGGCGACGTGAAATGACCTAGCATGATGTATGCTGGGTGTTTTGTTTTTTGTCTTAGTTTTTTTTTTTGCTGCTGCGTTCCATGCGAGTCTTTTCGACTCTTTCGTGCACTCAGCTCTCAATGAATTCCTATTGTAATAGCTACGCTAATTGTACTACAGAGTTGAGGGAGATCTTACCTTGGTAACGGCGGGGAGGGGGGAGTTCTGGTTCAAGTTGGAATGAGGTGGCTGTGCAGCCAGCGTCCCAGGATATGGCGCACGAGCCTGCAAATCTGTCTAACGCCCGATAAGCGCCATAGCCATGGGCGCGAGACTGTGAGCGTCCGATGATGATCTATAATTGAAAAAACACTAACCTGGCAAGGACTGTATAGCTTAACGGTAAGGCATGCGGCACTCAGTGGTATTTCAGGATTATCGCGAATTCTTGCCGCACATCCGAGTTCGACTCTCGGTGCAGTCATGGATTATTTTCTGTATATTTTCTCAACAGGCGCTTCATGGGCGTTAGACAAAATTGCAAGCTCGTGTCCCATATCTCGGCCATGTTGGCTGCACAGCCACCTCATGCCTCCGTTCACCAGAGACCACCCCCATCGAACGTGGTGGTGTCCCTCTCGAGGTAAGTGAACGTTCACCCTCATCCTTTTAAGAGTACACAATAAGTAGTTACAATACAAAAATTTTTGTGAGACACTGAGTGATCCAAAAGGCGAACACAATCGCCTCGATTTCGCTTTTGATCGTCGAGAGAGAACAGGCAGCCAGAGATGCTGATGGTTGAAATTTTCAGGCACGCCTGCGGCACCTATGGACTAGGTTGCTACACGTTCCACTCGTTCAGTTCGGTGCGTTGTATGTTGCGACTATACGAATCGTGCTGACATCTTCTTAGATCTTCCCCGTTGGTTTTACTCTTCAAAATATGTTTTCTTCATCCATTTATACAACCTTACTCGGTGCGTTACCCACAGCAGATTCACGAGCAGAAGGGCGTTGACCTTCGGACGTTATGCAGGTCCCTTTAATCCAATTCGTAATAGTCGAAAAATCAGAAGAAATCTCGCAATGGCACCTGGAAAACGCAGAAGAATTGGAGTGGAGTCATTTCTGGACATTGCGGCTGCAGAGGATAGAGACGCCTATGACGAAGGGGAATCTGAAGTCGAGGAGGAACGCTTCGAGCTCAGTGATGACGACGACATTGGTACGTTCGTCGGAATAATGTCTATGCAATATACTGACCTTGTTTGTCAGATCCACCCGCTGCTCAGACTACACTCTCGTTCGAAGCCCCCGAAGATCGACAGTCATTTGTGGATGCCTTGTGCGCCGACCTCACGTCGCGCTATGTCAAGCCACATCTCATTTCAGAAGCCTCCAACATGCAGCAGCCCGTTACAGTTTCTTCCGATACTCAGCAGGCCATAGACCCGTCCTTGCTGCGTTTAACCCCGAACTTGCAACCGACACCAGGACCCTCCAGACCAACTCCCTCCCCAGCTCCTCTAACTCCCTCGTCTTTGCTATCTCAGCAACTCATGCCGCCGCCTATATCATCCTTGCGATCACCGTCCCAGATCCGCAAAGGAAAGCAGAAAGAGACGGAACCTGAAAGCGACGCTCAAGGTTTCTATTCCTGGGCGCCCTGCATACCATCTGTTTATCCTCAGATGCGCGCCTACCCATCGAAAGACACCCTCGACATTCCACAAGTGAACAAGATAGATCCTTGGGAACGCGCCCACACACTTGGGAAGAATGCAGACCGTGCAAACCTTCCAAGCGTGCACCGTGATGACCTTCGCAGGGAAAAGAAACATTATTCTCGCGCGGTCAGTACTCGCCTCAGGGAGTACGTTGGAGACAACGAATGGGTGATAGTTTGCTCCGGGCCGTATCGCGGTGATGTGGGGTTGGCGATTGGATTGGAGAAAGACGAGATAGATGTCAGAGAGGACGAACAACTGGAGGAGATTACCAACAACAAACTGAAGTACCGACCAGCAGAGAAGCGGAGGCGTGATCAGGCAAGAGAGTGGGAACAGCTTCGTGCAGAACAACGGAAATGGGTCAAAGCTATCAGCCATGAAGCGGAGCTAGAACCAGATCTTCAATGGCTAGAAGATAGTTCAATGTGCGCTCGCAATAGATTTACGGTCCTGCTCATCCCACGGTTTCCCGGTGGACGCGTGAAGCCAGGACCCCAGGACGTTATCCAACCGTTCACTGATGAAACCGACCCTTTCTCTACCCATGGCCTCTTCTACGACAAAGATCACACCGGCGTGGCAGAAAAACAAGGGACGGACATTCTATTATGGAAAGGCGGGGAGTTCACCCGCAGTGGTCTCATGAGGGCACATTACTTCAGAGAACAGCTCCTCCTCGCTACCTCCATTCCTCCCAAGCTTGAGGACCTATTCAGGCAGACCAACCATCCTGACCTTGAGCTTGCCCCCTTTCCCCACCCCTCCAACTGGTCGTTTGATGAGGGCGAAGAGGTCATCTCGGCCGGAGTGAACGCCACGTTCAAGTATCTTCAGGTGAACGCCAGAAGTAACCGCCAACAACTCGCTGTCGTGCACCTCAGGGTGCAGCTAGCACCCAAACCCACCAACAATCCCTATGTCCTCTACCCTCGGCCAGCCGATGAGACTCTGGAAGAACAGCGGTTGCGGGAAGAGAAGGAGAGGATACGACGAAAAGAGGAGGAGGCCATCAACAGGGGCGAATACGCGGTTCCAGTCCGATCTCTCCTCAAGCCGCACAAGAAAGATGATTGGGTTCTCTTGATGACTGGTCGCCACCGAGGTCGATACGGCCGCGTCCTCGTTAGACATGGGAACACTATTTCCGTAGTGCTGCCCGAAGAGCGCGTACTCTCTGTATGCCACGTCAACGCAGCGAAGCGCATCCCGACGCCGATGGAAAGAGACGCCCGACTTGACATTTTTGGCGAGAAAAGGGAGCTTGTTCCAGTGCCTTGGGTTGGTACTGAGATACGGGTAACGAGAGGACCTTACTGCGGAGTCATCGGTCGCGTTGAAATGGTGGAAAGAGTTGAAGGGAACCTTGGTAGAAGATTGATGATTGGTTTGTGGGCGGAAGTTGTGCAAAAATTCGTTCTCGTTAATCATGATCATATTCTGACCACGAGGTATGTGTTAAACACTTCAACTCTTCACGTTCCTGATTCTAATTCCCTTTACCTTTAGTGGCGCCCAACGTCTCAAAGACCTTCAACCCTTGACTGAGACGCAATCACGAGTTTACGGGACCACAACCTCCATGCTCGCCAGCCGTGAACCGTGGCTGGGCACTCGGGTCGCGATCACCAAGGGTCGGGCCAAGGGCTATCTTGGGTACGTTCGTCGTGTGGATGTTTACTATGGGACAGAGACCCAGAGGGACCGTCATGTGCCGGGAAAGACTGTTGCGAAACGCCAGGGAATCAGGCTGAGTGTCGAACTCGAGACTCATGTGGCTGTGGACACAGGGCTCGTGGTTCTTGACTACCAGCATGTCCGCGATGTGAAGACCGGCAGGTTTCTCAACAAAGCTTACCCTGTCCGATCTGGTTCCTTTTACGACTTTCAGCCGGACCTTAAACACCTCCCAGACATAGTAGAGGAGTTGGATCGCTTGGAGCCGCCCGGCACTCCCCAATGGTCAAGATCGGAAATGGAAATCATGTCGCGTGATAGCACCTTGGAAACTCACTGGGACCCCTACGCATCCGTCACCTTACCCGTCGGCACCTTTGGGCCAGACCCCACCGTCCCGAGTCCTCAATCCCCTCTTGCGAACACGGCCGAAACAGTAGACCCCGTTCCCAATGAAGAGCCCCTCGATCCTCGGGAACAGATTGCAGCGGCAGAGTTGGAAGCATTCTGTTTGCAGGCATTCAAAGAAGCGGAGGAAGAGGAAGCTGCTGCTGCCGGACCAGCTCACTGGATCGTGCACCCCAGTCTCGCCGGTCTCAAGATCCAAGCATCCGTCAATGGCAGCGACATCTATCTCGACATCGTCCAAGGAGACTCTGGGGTTATCGTTTACAGGAAGGGTCCCGATGATACGAGGCCTAAAATTGTTCGGGATCTCACCACTATCGATCACGCTCAGGATCGGATCAAGCCCAGTACCGAGAAGAATCTCATGGTTGTTGTAGGCGGCAAACCTCAGCACATCGGCAAGCTCGTTCGGCGGGTATCCAACTTCTACCGGGACTCAAAGTCGGACGATAATCATTGGATCGTTGTTGTTGTTATCACGAGGACTAGCCCCACCGCTGTTGAAAACATGACTCTGGAAAGACTTGAGCTAGACCCCAAGACGATGTTGGCGAGAGTTTACGAGTCTAGGAAGAGAAGAAAAGAAGCTGATGAGTACATGAAGCTGACTCGCCGGGCGGCACTGGCCAGTAATAGGCGCATGGTCCCAGTCCGCCCCTTATGTTGATTTCTTCCCTGCGATGACGCCCTTTACTACTAATTCTTACTATTCTTGAGTACTATTCTTGTATCCGTAGCATGAGTTATGTATCACACTGGTAACATCTGATCTGAAATTTAGGAATGAATTCGCCCTGCCGTGGCCCCCCTCGACCCTCCTGAATGATGTCCGGCCTCTCCGTGGCCAGGGGGACTAGTAACCGTTCCTAAAACGGTGAAGCGAACAGGACATCTTCAACATTGGACCAATAGCCAGGGAATGGTTCCTAGCACCCAATTTGGTAAGTTGAACCAGCTCAATTGCCGTCACTCCAACTGATTTTTTTTTCTATTCAGTTCACAATCTCCACTGCATTCCAGCGTGAAAGCCGCCCAGAAACAGTCGCGATCCATGGTCTTCATTTGGACAATTTCTCCGGAATTCCCGTCAATATAGTTGTGGCCTCCAGGTGAGTTGTCTCTCCAAGCCCCCTCACTCTCCTTCACACCGTTTTGACGGTTCTTTACTCACTGATCTCCAGCCCGTACTCCATGTATCGAAAGCAACTCAACAAGGAGAAGCGAGCGGCCTTCAACGACAGCGTCCACGTAGCCACTCCACCTCCGAAGCGTTTACGCGTTCAGGAATTCATCGACGAACGAGGGACGAGCAGGGTGGTCATACCAATCTCATCGAGCGAACCACAACCAAATCCAGGGCCTTCGCGTCAGGAGATTCAGTGATTGCCCGCTCCTGAGAAATCGCAAAAAGGAATCGAAGATGTTGAGATGAAGGACATCGAGAAAGGTGACGACGCAAAGGCAGAGAATAGGGAAAGAATACCTGTAGAAAAGCTAGTTCAGGAAGAGAAGACACGCGTGAGTTTCCTCACACCTTGTGCTGCGTTCTTTCTCAGCGGTTCTTCATAGCGACTCCAGTTGTTGGGTGATTGGGAAGAGAAAATGGACCAAGCCGTACGGTTATCATTCAAACGCGAAGCTCACGACGATGTCATCAAGACATGTTCGT